AAAGAAGGGGGGGGGGGGGGGGGGGCTAGAAATCACTTACATTGGCAAGGGCACTTAGAGTCCTGAGCAAAAAGGCCTTACAAACTCAAAATACTAGCTCTAATGAGAAACTCCAAAGGCAATTCAGCAATTCTACAAGAAGAGCTCCTTGGGTATGGGAAGAAAGATGAACTTAAAAGTCTTATTTACTTGTCTTGTAGTTGCACTCTGTGTCCCCAGTTCAAGGATTTCACATAATTCTGAACAGCTTGTGCCATCACAGACCTATCACAAAACAAGAAACTGAACATGAAGTCATCACATTACAAAATCAGATTATGCAACTCAAAGATCCAGGCAATTGCTAGAAATTAGGAATGTTCTACAGTACTTCCTGTTATAAAAGTAAATTACGAAGCCCAAACCAACATAATATCTGCCCAGTAAATACAGTTTTGTGTTTTAAACAAGGAGCAGTCTAAAAAGCTTCATGCAAAATTCACTTCCCTAACTGTCCCTAAATAAACACCAACTGGGAAAAGTTGTTATGCATTTGCAGCACATAGGAGTGGATATGGGCAATAATCTTTACCAGGTATGATGAACAGGTTGGGCTATATTCCAGCCATAGTGTTGGGCATCTTTAAGGGCACTCCCTAAAAGGGCTGCTTGATGCATAAGCTTTTTAGGAATGCAGCCAACATTCACGCAAGTTCCACCAAGTCCCCATTTGGTTCCTTGAAAAAACAAAAGAAAGGAAGAAAGAAAAAAGTAAATGCATCAGGTTAGTGTGACAAAACAATTAGGTTGTTCATGCAATTAGTTAAAAAGTTCTGAACCAACACACAGTTTACTATCTCCTACAGATCACTTTCTATCTCTGCTTACGTTTGTTGTGATAAAAACCATCTCTCTATATTTTTCTTCTAAAATTCAAGCCATCTCAAGGTGTTTCTCAGAGCTCTGAAGATCCAGTTACTACACATTCACATTTGCCTATTTGCAGATCTTATTTTACATGTTGTACATGAAGAGCCTCAACATGATGCGATGCATAGTTTTTAGAAATTGTAAGTGACTTGAGAGCGACAATATCCTCACATATTTAAGTCCAAGACTACTACAAATGGTAGCATCAAACACTGCTAACAACCTTAACGCACAGGGGAAGCAGGCAGAGCTGGGGCAACACTGGAGGGAATGAGCAGTACAACACGCTGGGCTTAAGGGCTTTTACTACAAGCAAAGCAGAAAGCATGGCTTTGGCCACTTTGCTGCCTGGAGCAATCTGCTCACCTCGGCAACCATTTTACACACATGTCCAAATACTATCCTAGTATTTTTCTTCCATACCTTGTGGAGAAGGTTCCACATAATCCAAAACAGCCACTTTCCTTCCAAACTGAGCAGCTTTAAACAAAAAGCAAGACAAGGTATTTAGAGGAGGGAGAAACACACAAACCTCAACACTTTCAGCAGCACAGGTACAGATTAAGAGCACAGGAGATGACACCTGGAGGGTCTAACTCAAGATGCCAGACTAGGCACCCAGGCTGCCTGTGTAGTCAGCAGATTCTCCAGAAGGCACTTAAATAACCCAGACTAGAGCCTCCATCTTCCACCGACCCTAAAAATGCAATTTGACCCCAAATGAGATGTTTAAGAGCCTTGTGGACTGTTAAGCATGTTACAGTGAGTTACAAAGGGGCAAGGTTCTCTACAGCAGTTAAACAGTTCCTGGAAACAGTCTGAAGGGACTGTTGTTTTAACACATAAATAAGAAACAGTGTAATTTAAAAAATACAGTATCTATGAAGGCACTCGGAGTATTTTACAATAACAGTGAAATAAAAGCTTATTAGATTTTCCCATGACAAAAGAAGAATTTTTTTTTTAAAAGGTTAATAGGAAAGCCAAACAAGATCACCCCACCTGAGGGTGTGAAATAATTTGCAGATTAACTGTACGGAGCTGAGTTAATGATTAATGTGCAGGGACTGAAGTATACTATGTTTCTTAAAAAGCTTTGGCATTATCAATAACACTTCTCTTAGCCTCCATAAACACTACTTAAGCCAAAACAAAACTTCTGTTAGTTATTTATACATACAAACCTTCTTTTGCACAGGCAAGGCCTCCAGACCCTCCACCAATTACCAGAAGATCATACTCATTCTTTCCTGTGAAGAGGGCATGAAAAAAGGAAAAGAACCAGACAAGGAAGAGGGGAGAGGTAGGTAAGAGGGTAAATATCAAAAAGTACAATGTTTCTTACAATTAATTATTGCTGGTTTGGGCTTTCTTTACTTTACTAGAGCACTGTGTTTTTTCAGTGTTCCAAAGCATTCTCCACAAATCGTTGAACTATCTAGTCTGGTTTCATGAACGAAATACAGAAAATAAAGCAACGCAAAAGAAGCGAGGGAACAGACGGGCTTTTCAGTGTCCCAAGCAGCTCTTTATGCACGGTTAGACAGCTGCAACCGGGAGCAGTACAGGTCTGCTGTCTCTGCATTAGAGCAGCAAGTTCCACACGCAGCTTCTTCAGCGGGGTCACCCTATGGGACCCGCAAAGTGTCAGCTGCAAGGCAGCTGGCGGGGATGCGGGGGGCGGTCAGGTGCGGGCTCCTTCTGCCACCTCAGCCGCCCCACAGATCCGCCCGGCCGCCCAGAGCAGTTCTGAAGCGGCAGCAGCCCTCGGGCGAGCAACAGCTCGTTTCTTAGCAAGGGCAGGGGGGCAGGCCCTGCTCCCAGAGCTGCCAGCGCTGCAGCGAGGGCGGCCGAGGCTGC